GGTAGCTGGATCCAATGGTCATAAGTGGCCGAACACATGGTAGAAACTGGACATGAGATAAGCTTAGCTATGGAATTAAGTTTGCTCCTAATTTAAGCCCAATTCAAGCAGCTCTTACATATTATTGTTTAGGTATGCGAGGATCACTTTGCCTTTTTACAACAAGGAAGGAAGATTCTGGACGATTGCCCTAAGTTAATTAGTGTAATAGATGTAATATATAAACTTTAGGTGGAGTAAAAATGGGATGGTAGACTATCCTTATTGAATCTCTTAATTCGTAAAGAGGATACGAGATTAGGCTTTTTTCTAAGGTATTAAGACCAGGATGGTGTGGCCTTTTGTATGGTCGCGGTGTCCTTTCTTTGTAGAGAAGATATTTGACCTTGGTTTCGCAACTTGGTCATATTAGCAGGAAGACCTAGAAGTAAGCAGCTTGTCCGGAGTCCATAGTGTGCATGATAATTTCTAGAGTCGGACCGTGGGCTATTTTTTAATTTACCCTATGATTTAACGTAGAAGTTGGGAAATAAAGAATAGCAAGAAGTCTGCGTTTTTCAGATTTTGCTCACAGAGTATATGAGTTGAAAGACTCAAGTAAAATATTAGGGAGCAGCTTCGCCTAACAAACCAACGCTTTGCAGGATTTGAAGACTTCATAAATAAGCGAAGATTGAGGAGTCTTTAGGAATAAAATAGCAACCGACACCTTGGATAGGAAAGATATCGAGAAAATGAGTGAGCATTACTTGTGGGAGAGGGTGCAGGAGGATCTACAGAGCAAGATGAGAAAGCCTGATTTGCCTTGAATCCGGCTTAGAAGCCTCATACCTCACATGACTCACAAGCATTGCATGCATACAATACGAACGAATTGAAGCATAAAGTCGACCTTAGGAAGTCTACATTCAATTTTTTTTGTTAACAAAACAGATATTCGGTTACAACCGCATCTAATTCATACCTTATTCTAAGAAAAAGATTATAAAATTAGACTAGAAGAGGTAGATAGTATCAGAGCCAGCCACACTTGTTCCTTATCGCTTGATGAATGTTTTTTGAAGGGTTGCTTTCATGCACTAAGGATGCCTGTCAAATGGAAAACGAAAGTTTGGCTCAAGTTTAAAGAAATCGAAGGGCAATGATCTAAGAAATTTTGAAGATCAAATCACCCGTCATAATTTCAAGGCGATCTCCTTCCGTTTTCCGATTGTCCAATTCACAAATTTCCTTAACCTACAATTTCAGACGAAATGTTTTGGAACAGTTATTTTGGATTTTTAAGGCACGGATTCTCTCTTTGATATCGGTTATAGAGGTTAAGATAAAAATTTAAATATGTATTTATTATGGTTTGAGGTCGGAGTGTCATAGCTAAAATTATAAATAGAAACCATATGTGTCATTAGATCTGCATGGGCCATAGATACAAGTTTTCATATAAAATTTTGTTCAGTTCTTTCCCGAGACCATTGTGATCGTGAATATCCTCAAGCAAAAGCCTGACTATGACCATGAATAGGATTACGAAAAGGTTAGTCCTTAACTCATGTAATGAAAACCATTCGGCTCTCGAATGCAAACTTATATTTCTTGCTGTCAAGGCTCACTGATAAAGGACCTGAATTTTAAAGAATCTTGTGACTAAATAACTATTTTGATTATAAAATAATTAAGTGTATAATCCTTGATGTAAATAATTCGTGTTGAGATTATACTTACCATGTAAGGTGTAATAGTGTAAATAATGAAGTTAATGAAAAAACATTGAATTAATCAGAAAATCACTTTTTATAAATGAATGGTTAGATTGTAAACTGTCAGACCTGAAAATCCGTTACGCTCTGGGCGACGAGTAAGAACGGCAGAATCTTCTTTTCCCTTTATGAGGGTTAGTCCATCATTAAGAATTTGTGATTCTTCATGAGCTATTGGCCTTGCTACCATATGCGCCTGATGATGAGAGCCAGTGTAATGATGCTGTAATTGGTTCCGAGGATGCAATTCGTGTGAATTGTTGGGCAGTCCATGCACAGGAAAAGCGCCTACGGTGGCCTGAGATTGTCCGACTACGGTCTGGTGTCCATGTTGGCGGCTTTGAGTCGCTGGCTCCCTCTTAACAAAGGTCTGATGGACAGAGAAACCGTGATTCATGAGGCCTGGTTGGGTTAAGCATGTAAAGCTGGCCGCTGGGATAGAACATTTAAAATAAGAAATAATATAAAGATAATAAAGTAAAAATGTAATTTTCTTGATTGTTGAATGTATATTCCAAATGTTGCCTGTCGTCATTATTTTTACTATTTTTTAAGAACACAACAGTTTAGTAGTTCTTGAAGGTTGTTAACCCGTAAGAAATTTTTTTTAAACAAGTCCTTTTAAACTACGATATGTAGGAACATCCAGGAAGCAGCTATCCAATCATAAGGTAAGCATTGTAAGGGTGTGTACATGCAGGCAAAGATACACGTGTGTGTGATATGGAGGAGACCAGGCCGATCTTGAGCTTCCCGTTTGCCCTATGGCCCAGTGGTATTCGTGGTGGTAACATGCCAAGATTATAAGTTGCATTATCCAGGTTCTGTTCCAGCTGGTAGTGGTGATGAAACCTAGGCGATGTCAAAATTGTAGTCCATTCTGGATAGGAATATCTTTTGGAAGCAGGGCTGAGGGAAATTCTCTTGCATCGTTGCAATTTGAGGAATCATTGTTTAAAGGATGTAGAAGCTAGATTGACTATTAATGTGAACTTCGAACATGATAAAATGAAAAGAATTCTTGAGTAATGCCTTGCCCTGAAGGATGTACATGAATTGTAACACAATACAACTATAGTTGAGTATATTAGAGCAATAAGTTATGCCCGCGAGGTACTGATTAGACGTTTAGGCGATGTTGAAACCGCAATCAGGCCTGGATGAAAACTGCTTTTTGGGATTTATGGCTGAGTATAGTTCAATACAAAAGTCAAGTCTTTTTTCAAAATATTCGTTGATAAAGTAACTATCAGCCCAATAATAAACAGTCCAGGCTGGAAAATTTCTATAACTATCTGGGCTTAACTAAGCACAGACTATAAAAATGAGAATTTGATGCAGATTTATGCATTTGAAACGAATGAGTACGCAGTCACCATTGCTAACTTTAACAAAGTAGGTAATACTAAGACTCATTATTATGCTCTAGATCTCAGTTGTATTGTGAATTAAGAATGATAAAAAGAAAACGTAGGC